GAGGTTGGAATGCCTTTAATCCCCATGCATGGGCTCCAGGCACAGTTGCCTCCAGCAATAACAGCCCTTTGACTGTGCTGGCTGAGTCACTTCAGCCTCCCAGGATGGGGACATTTTATCATGCACAGGCCTGTACCTCTGAGGGCTGTGTGTCTGCTGAGGCTCTCTTGTGCAAGGATCCTGGTGTGATGGGACCCGATCCCAACATTTTTCTGGTCGTTCAGGTGTGGTCCCTGCCAACAAACAATCCTCCTACTTCTGAAAATGAAACCTGACCTCTGAGGAGCTGGGATTTATTCTGGTTCCAGCCAGACTGCTGTGGGCAGCATGTGGAGTGTCCATGTCTGCAAGCCCCAGTACCACCTGAACAGTGCCAAGCAAGGTGACAATGCTCTATCCACACCTGGGTTTGAGTCATTGCTGGTCTGAGCAGTCTTTGCTTGTCATGTTCATCAGTGTCCAGAACTGGCTCATCAACCAGCAAGGTCATAGAATGACAAAATTGGATGTGAAGCAAGCTTAAGGACCACACCATTCCACCCCCTGCCACTGGCAGGGACACCTTCCACTGGCCCAGGTTGCTCCAAGCCCCAAACCTGGCCTTGGACACTTCCAGGGATCCAGGGGCAACCACAGCTTCTCTGGGCACTCTGTGCCATGCACCTCACCATCCTGAATAAGTTCTAAGAAAATTAGACTCAGCAACTGAGAAATCACATCAACTAGACCAGGATTGCTCTGTGGGCACAAGAATTTGAGCTCTGACTAAGGTTGTCTCTAGGCTGCTGTGAAGCAGCACCTTGCTGTAGGAAAGCAAATGAAATTCAGGGATTTTGTTGGAAGGCAGGAGCTGAGGGAGAGGCAGGAATAGACAGATGCTGATAGACAAAGGCTGAGGCCAGTATGATCTGGGATCTCAGGGTTGCTGTGATTTTGTGGACTGAGGTCCAGCTTCACAGACTGTCTGTGCCTCAGGCAGTCACCCTGCCTGGGGCCTGGGGTCCACACAGATGCTGCATCACCATCCCTGCTCACACCCTGGAAAGCAGGATACTCCCTGGGGGGAGCAGGAATCTAGGGGGGACAGTGTCTGCCCCAGGCTTTTAGGACCATGAGTCAGGTTTGCAGAGTTGTTCCCTCTTTTCAGTGCTGTTGACATTAATGTGCAGTGACCTCTTGAAGCAGAATGTGTTGGCTGTTCTTGGATGCTGCAGGTGTTCTCCTCAGGGAGCTGCAGCACTGTCTTCCCTCTTCTTATGCAAGAGCAGCACCCCAAAGGGCAAAATGCCACAACTTAGAGAGGGACCCAGTAGCCCTGTCCCAGTTTTTCAGACACCCTGCTGTCCTCTGAACCCTTTTGCCATCCTCCTCTTGTAGCACTGCCCAGGCACCCTGGTAGGGAGCAGCCCCAGGAAGGAGGTGACACAGAGAGGAGGTGTGACCCTGCAGGTGTGTAGGATCATCCACCTGGAATCTTCCACCAGGTTTTGGTACAATTATTATTTTGGTACAATTACCCTTCCCAAAATCGTGTTTTTTGTTGTTTATGAAAAAAAGGTAATATGCAAGGGTGGTTTAATGTGACATGTAAGGATTGAGTGCAGTGAGCAGGGCCTGATGGGGACTGTCCTTAATACCAGACTGTAAGAGAAGCCATCCTGGGACATCCAGGGATAAACACAGCATGTTTTCTCCTGCTAAAACCTGAGCTCCCTGTAAGAAAAGTTGGAGCTTTCCTGAGCTTGAGGCTGAATGAAGAATTTCTTGTTTAATACCAGGGTGGCCCTCTCCCTAGAATATTATCAAACTCTGTTTGGAATTGGGTTTTGGTTTCTCTGTGTCATGCTCTGATGATGAGTTATTGGATTCATTATGTGCAATGTGAAGAAGCACTGGTTCTTGTCCCAGTCCCAGCATCTGAAAACTTCTCTAGTTGTTCTGCTGCTGTGAAAAACAGCATTGTCCACCACTCCAGTGGTTTTTGAGGTCTCTGAAGCATCTTCCTTAAATATTGTTTGTCTGCACCAAAATGGCTTCATTTTGGAACAAGTCCATGCTGATGGTGGTCTGGAAAGTCTCTCAGTCTGTTTTACTGGTTGGAGAAGGGACTTGTAATAAATGGCAGGCAGCAGGATCCAGCAGAAGTGTGACAATGGGCTTTGCTTTAGTGCTGACTTCAGATACTTCCAATGATCAACACTAAACACCAGGCTCAGATTTCAGAGAGCCACTGAGATTCAATGTTTGTCCCACCAAAACCCTGAAAGCATTTTCTGAAGCCCCACTCTCTATCTCTCTGTGTCCAGCTCTGCATCTTCATGATTTTTAACAGACATGAATTATTACTCCACTTCACTAGGCTGCAGGACCCAGGGTTTTACCTCCCCAGCACACCTTGGCTGCAGAAACAAATCCATCTGCAGGAGCAGGAGCCCCAGAGGTTGTGCTGGTCCCTGTGGCTCAGGTGCCCACCTGGGTGAGGTTTCCATCCCAGTGGGCTGCAGAGAACACCCACGGGATCCATCACTGGGCTTTCACCACCCTTGCACAGCACGGAAGGAGAAGCACAGCCCATGACCCTGGACTTCCAGGGCTCACAGCCAGCAGCCCCACGTGCTGTGTGGTGACAGCCATGCCAGAGGGGTGCCAGCAGCCTGGCAGCATGTGCCCTGTGGGACGGGCTCTGGGAGCAGCAGCGAGGCAGCTCCTGGTGCTCGCTGCCCCGTGAGCAGAGCCAGCAGGAGGGCAGAAGATCCCCAGGCAGGGGAAGAGGGAGGTGAGAGGGGCAGGGGGCTGTGAAGGGGCACATCAGAGGAGCTGAGGGGGCAGGCAGCTGTGAGTGCCATAGTGCCAGAGGCTTGGAGTGGCCCTTGTGAGCAGCAGGACCCCCGGAGCCCCCTGTGCTGCCCAGGGACCAGCTGTGCACAGGAGCTGCAGGAGGAGGACATGGGTGGGGGAGCCCCATCAATCCCACTCTTCTAGCAGCCCTGCAGTTTCTATTCTAGGTTCCCCAGAGGTGAGAATTGGGCATTTCCTTCTCCTTCTGCCTGTTGTCATCTGGCTGCTCTGCTGCTGCCTCGTGTCCTGCAGGGCAGGGCCCAGGTGGGACAGCATGGCATGACCAGAGCTTGCCCAGCATCAAGAGGAGCAGAAGCATCACAGCTGGTGTCCTGCTCCTCACACCCCCAGCAGTCACCCCCAGGGTCTCTGTTCTTTCCCAAGAGCACTTTTGTCCTGCACTGGCTCTCCTGTGATTCCCACTACCCCAGCAGAGCTGTAAGCCAATGCCCAGCTTTTATCCCTGTTCATCTATGGAGCCTTTCCCTCAGTTTCCCTCTAGAATTCTGCATTTTCCAGCTGCTCTTCCACACCAACCTCTCTCCTCATATGTGCAAGTTGTTGGCAGAAATGCCAGGTGAGATGCTGTCCATCCTTAATCATGTTCTTCATTTGGAAGGGAACCATTTATTAAGTGTGGCCTATCTGCTGCCCTTTTGTACCAAACACTGCACTGAATGTCAAAATTTAACATTTTACTAAAGAAATGCTTAAGTCATGGTAGCTGATGTCTATTCTTTCTTCTCCATTCTTATGCTTTTTTACCCTTTTTTTAAATAGAAAAAAATTTTGGCACAATTCATTTTTCACAAGCTACTACTGACAGTTCCTCATTTCCTTGCTCTTTCTTCTGTGTTCATACAAATAATTTACTGCTAAGTCCCCATTTTCTTCCAGAAGTCAAAGAGTTTTGTGCCCTAAAGCTTTCCTTTTTTAAAGGATGTCTCTTTCCAACTTTCCTTCCATGTCAGAACTCTGAATCCTTGGCAGTAAGGCTGCAGTCACTGCAATGGGGAGGTTTCTTGCCTGCCTCTCTGCTCTTTGGGCTGCCCCTCACCTCTAAGGCTATGCCCTGCTCCTTTGACACAGCAGTAAATTATAATAGAACCCCAAGCAGCATTTCCTTTTTCATGCCATCTCCAATTACTCTAAGAAGGTTTTGCAAAGAGAAGCCTCAGAATGTAAAACCTTCCCTTTTCAGGCACTTCTTCCCCTGGCCCAGCTACCTTGCTGAGATGTGTCTGTTACCCAGGGGAGCATGTGTCAGTGATGTCCCATTTCTGGAAGGAACAAAGTTCAGCACAGAGGGATGTCCAGAGCCAAGAACAGCATTTGCAAAGATGCTGAGATGATGACAGCAGTAAACTCAGATGTGTGGTGCTCCAGTGGGTCAGTGAGAGAGAATTGTGTCTGAAATAGCTCTTGGAGTGTGGTTCTCACTCTGCCCCCATCCCTAGAGCTGTTCAGACACCCAGCCCTGGCTGCACTGTCCCCTTTGTCTCCTCCTTTCCCATCACCTGTGTTGGTGTCCCCATGTCCAGAGCCCTCCTCCATGTCCTACACCCACTCCCATCTCTGAGGGCTCCTCCTGGGTCCTGCCTGTTCAGCCCAACAGCCCCAGGCACCTGCTCTCTCTGCAGTCTCTGATTTGCTTTTTCCACAGCAGTTCCAGTTCCTGCTGCCAGCTGTGCCAAGGCTGTGAGGTCCCTGAGCAAACATCTGTGAGCAGCTCTTACCCTCTGTTCCTGCTGTGCCACAGTGGGGTAGGAAAGCTGCCCAGGGCTGGTTTCCATCCTCTCTGGAGGGAACACTGACACACACAGCAAAGGACGCCTGACTCCAGGATAAATGTGGGACAGCCTTGCTCAGAGCACTGGAGTCAGTCTGGGGTAACAGATGCACATCTGCAGAGCAGAGGCCCCTCTGTGCAGCACCAAACTCACCCCTTGGCCCTTCTGCTGCACCTCCTGGGCCACACTGGGCTGCAGCTCACCTGCCAGCCACCTTAAGCTTGCTTAAGAGCCCTGGCTGGCCAATGTGGTGCTTTCCAGCTTTCCAGCAAGAGCCCAGAACAACTTCGGAAACAAGCAGCAACATCCTCCATTTCGTGTCAGGCTGCTGTTGTTGGGTTTTTAACAAAGTTTTCTTTTTTCTAATTATAGGATGTTGCAGAACAATCAGCTGAGCCGCATCCCTGCAGAGGCACTGAGAGATCTTCCAAATCTCCAATCTCTGTAAGTCATTAAAAATCAATGCTGCGAGCTGCACAGTCCCTTGGGGACCCCAGGCTTCCCAGCATTTGAGTCATTAGTTCCTTTGTCAAGGATGTTCTGTTCCTTCTTCCTTTTCTTTTCCAATTTATTCAAAGATTACTGTCACTTAGAGTGGAAGGGAGGGGAGGGCAGTTTTCAAGGAAGAAACACTGTCTTGGTAGAGGATGTTGAAATTACAGCTCCCCATGTGTGCATTGTGATGAAAAGGCCACCAGAGCCAATGCATATTTCAAGGAACCTTGGAAAATATCCACCCAAAGAGTCTCTGTCCACTGCACTATGGACCACAGCGGGGAAAGGACCTGCCAGTGAGCACAGAGGACACTCTGGGCTGTCAAAGTGCAAGTTGGGCTGTTTTACCCAAATGGAGAATAATCGTGGCAGGGTAGAACTGCTTTAAAGACTTTAACAATTCAGCCCTGGGAAGAAGCTGAGGCTGTGATTGTGTTTTTCCTGTAAAGGAGCTGTACCCACAGCAGGTCTGTGTTCCTGTGTTCCCTAAAAATCACACGACTTTGGAATTCTGCTGTTTTCCTGCGTGTGGGCAGAGTTGATACCAGAACCTCGGAGTGCCAGTGGATTTAGGGAAGGTGTGTTCGGTGCAAGGAGCACAGCTGAAGCTTGTAAGAGCCTTCTGAGTTGGGCTGAACCACTGAAAATCTGACCTTATCCCTTAATCCTTAACTTCAGTCCTAGACTTACACAGCCCTTTTATCACAGAAATGTTAGCTGGGAGCCGTTTCTGGCAGTCTCCTGCTTGGAGCAGGACTATCCCAAATACTCAGGGGGGCAGCTGCAGCTTTGTCTCTCCAAGGACAGAGATTCCCCTCTCCCTGGTAGCCTGGGGCTGTTCTTCCTGGGGAAGAAACTTTTTCTCAAGTCCAACCTAAAACTCCTGGAAGGCAATTTGTGGCCATTACTCTTTGTTTGATCACCTGGAACCACCCTGAAGGGCTTGGCTCCATCATCTTTGGTTGCAGGTCCCTGGCAGTTCTCCTCTCAGCCCCTTCTCTGCTAAGTGAAACCAACCCTGCTCCTTCCACCTCTGCTCATGGGGCAAATGCCCTGGGACCCTGGCTCAGCCACTAGCCCACCACTGGAGCTGTCTCATTCCCCTTCATCCTCCTTATACTGGGCACCCCAATACTGGGCACAGTTCTTCATGTGTGGCCCTCCCAGTACCCAGTAGGAGTTTCTGTAAATATTAATTTAAATATTAATTTGCAATGGGGGTGTTGGCTGTGCAGGATATGAATGTTCTTTCTGCCAGAAGAGATTTGAAACATTTGTTGTTGAAACATCACTGGCACATGGTTGTGGTTATTATTAAATTTTGTTGACATCACTCTGGCAGCAGTGCCAGAGTCAAGACCCCCACTCCAGGGATTTTGAGATCAGGTTGTTTTCCAAGTGACTTCTCTTTCATGGGAAGCATAGCATGGAAGGTTGCTGGTTCTTGGCTTCTTTTCTGTCTCTGTCAGGGTCAGGATTGAAAGTGTGTGACAGCCAGTGCCACCAGAGCCCACGGCTGCAGAGAGCCAGCCTTGGCTTCTGAAGGTTCAGCTGCTGGCACAGCCAGCACTGCAGCTCTGGCCACCAGTCCTGGGGCATTCACCACTGCTGGGGGGCAACCTGGGCTAGTGCTGGGAAGGCCACATGCTCCATCTCCTCAGCCCACAGCCCCTGCCAAAATACCACAGGGCACGTGAGAAATGCAAACCACCCCAAGAAGACACTTGCAGCACTTTGGGGGACGTTTAAGGGGCAGGGTGGGAGAATCCCTTGTGTGAATTAGCACTGAGGTACCTGCTCCTAGTGAATTTTGAGGCCACCTCACCCAGGGTGGTTTTCCCAGGTGTCCTCAAAGTTGGGTCAGTGGGAGCTAGGGCCAGTTGGGATCCAGTGCTCTTCCTGCAGAAACTTCAGAGTAAAAGCAAATTTTTGGAAGAATTCAGCTGCTTTAGACAACCAGAGGGAGACTAGGCTTGGAATAGAATCAGAGGGTGAGCATCTGGGCAGGTCTGGCTCGGACATGCCTCATGCCTGTCACAGCAGGACTGCTTTCAAGAGCTGCAGCCACAGCTGTGTCCTCCTTGCCCCCAGAACCTGCTGTCCAAGTTGGTCACTTCCCACTCAGTGTCCAAGGTGACCAAGCAGGGACCTCCTGCCTCTCCTGAGCAGCCCTGTTCCTGTGCATCAACCTGTCTGGGCTGCTACTGCCCCCTCAGAGCTTCCCTCAGCCCCTCACTCCTGCAGTGCACAAGCACCCGTGCCTGGTCCCTCTGGGCTCCCTCGCTCCTCCTCTTCTCACCATCCATTTTTAACATACCTGATCTCATTCCCCTGTAACAGAGCCACATCTTCTGTGCCTTCCCCAGCTCTTCCTGAGGCTCAGGATCCTTTCCCTGCCCCTCATTGTTTCTGAATCCTGTCCCAGACCCAGACTGGGCACAGGAAGGACTGAGACTGTGATCTCCCACTCCTCCCTCTATCTTAAAAAAAAACCCCAAACTGTTGGGCCTGACAAGACCTGAGTTCAGGATGGGAAAGGCACCAACACCTTCTGGCCTGCAGAACTGCTCCATCCACTGCTCCCAACTGCCCCTGCCAGGCCCACAGCATATTCACCAGCCACCAGGCACAGTGGGAGCAAGTAAGTTCAAAGGAAATCTCCTGCTGGGAAAATAAATTTTTCATGGGATGGGGTCTAAAGTCCCCCTCCAGCGAAGTGAGCCTCCATACACATTCTCATGGTCACAGAGTGCCCAGGGCTTCTTTAGAATCAGAGCACAGCATCACAGAATCATCACTGTTGGAAAAGACCTCCAAGATCACCAAGTCCAAGCTGTTCCCCATCCCCAGTTTGTCACCAGACCAGAGCACTGAGTGCCACATCCAGACACTCCATGGACACCTCCAAGGATGGGGACTCCACCACCTCTCTGGGAAGTCCCTTCCAGTGCCTAACAACCCTCTCAGTGAAGAAATTCTTCCTGATGTCCAACCTGAACCTCCTCTGGCACAGCGTGGGGCCATTTCCTCTTATCCTGTCAGATTTACACAGGTGACAGATTAACACCCTTTTTGGAAGACCCATTTGAGAGCTGGCAGAGCATATAAAAAACTAGAGATGTGTACTGGGAACAGCACAATCCCCTGTAGCAGATCTGTTGGGACCTTAAAGGTTACCTCATTCCAGCCTATTGGGACCTTAAAGGTTACCTCATTCCAGCCCCCTGCCACGGGCACTTTCCATGAGGCCACATTGCTCCAGGCCCTTTGCCAGCCTGGCCTTGAACACTCCCAGGGACAGGGCAGCCACAGCTTCTCTGGGCACCCTATGCCAGTAAGATTAAGAGTTCCAGGAGAAGATTTCTGTAACAAACAGCAAGCAGCAAAACGTGAGTAACTTGTGTAGGTGTCAATCAGTGAACCCACCTCACCCATCCCGTTCTGTCTGTGCTTACAAGGGTTCAGGGTGAAGGTGTGGGACATCAGTCACATCCCAGCTGTCACTTCTGCATGTGTGCCCCTGAGGCTGGCCCAACTCTTCAACCAGCTGGGGGGCAGTCTCTTCTGGAAGCAAAAGTTTCCAAAGTGCTCCATGCAATGGAGAACTCTTCCCTGTCTGGGATGGTTAAAGGAAGGGCAAAAAATGTTTCTCAGAGGGATCCTGAGCACAGCTCACCCCAGGCTGCAGTGAAACCTGCCCTCAGCATGGAGAGGACAGGAGGGAGCTGTTCTCCAGGATGGGTATTCCAGAGGATGGTTATTCTCCAGGGGAACAGGCACAAGCCAGCTCTGCCTCGCATTAGGACCACACCAAACTCCTCTTCTGCCTCAAGCCTGACTTCTTTAAAGTGTGGAGGGCATGTGCAGACAAAGACGATGATTTGCACTTTCATATAATCACAGAATCATCAAGGTTGGAGGAGACCCTCAAGATCACCTAATCCAGCCACTGACCCAGCACCACCACATTGACCGCCACACCACATCCCTGAGTGCCACATCCAGACACCTCTTGAACACCTCCAGAGACAATGACTCCACACCTCCCTGGGCAATTCATCCCAATGTCTAACCACTCAAAGAAAAAATAATTTCTAATGTCTAATCTGGATCTCCCCTGGAGGAGCTTAGGGCCATTTCCTCTTGTCCTATCACCTGAGACATGGAAAAGAGCCTGACCCCCACCTCACTCCTTTCAGGCAGCTGTAGAGAGCAACTTTCTCCTCCTCCCACTGAAGCTGCCCTGCAGAGATTCTTGGGCTGGGTAAGGTCCCAAGAACCAGGTCTGGTGACACAGCCCAGTGTGGCTGCAAGGCTCAGCCCTGCTGGGGGTGGATGGGGCATTCTGAGCACACACAGAGTGTGACAAGGTGGTGCCACTGCTGTGCCTCACACTGGGGCAAGCATGACCTGGACAGCATCCTGGAGCTCACCCTGTGCTGCTCCCCTGGGGGAGCAGCCAGTGCTTGCAGAGTCCTGCAGTTCTTCTAGCTCATGCTCAGAGGTGCTCTCCACCCATCAGGAGTGGCACAGCGTGGACAGCACTGTGTCTGAAGGGAACACAGGGCTGAGATGCTCTGCTTGGTTTCTACTGCCATGGCTTCTCCAAATGTGGCTACTCACCTCAGACCAAGAGACTCCATGCAGGTCTGCATTAGAGTGATTTTTCCCCCCCTTTTCAAATATCTGAGTCATTTTCCACAAGTTTATGAGACTCCTGTGTATCCATTGCCAAAAAAATTGCCAGCCTGGAACACCTATAGGTCACCCACAGCACAGTTTTCAAGAATTACCAGTCAGGCCATCTGAGCCCCAGTGTGTTTGTGCTGCTCAGAGACTCCTTTTTTCCATTCAGAAGGGGAAGTGGCTTTATGGCACATCATGACAGGCCATGAGTTATCAGACCTGTATGGCACTTGGTGAAATATTAACTCTCTGCATATTGGCTA